GAAGGGCCTCATTTGTAATCGACTGCAATACTAGTGGATTCATTCAAACTGGGCTAGGCCCCGTGGTTTTTCCCCCTTTTCAGGGGTTTTCCACGTAAAAATCTTGGTGTCTCATAAATGCTAGACCCTTTCTCTTATCTGATTGCGTGCCGGATTTTCATACAACGCTAAGACGATAAACTTCATATTTCTCTACCGCCGCAAATACTCTTGGCCGCAACAATATAACATAAATATTTTCTTAAATGTCATCACATTTACATTTTAACAATATAATAATAAATATAATTAGTAAATATGATTTACAAGTTTTTTGTCATGGATAGTACCTTGACTAAGGCTTCATTTGGGTGCTTTTTTATTATTTTTAAATCAAATTTTTAGTATAAAAATTAATTTAAGAAGCAATAAAAAAGTCATCCCAAATGAAGCCTAAATAGCATTCAATTTAAGTTTTATTTGGGACAACTTTCTCACTGCTTTTTAAAACAACTTTTTTATACAAAAAATTTTAGATCAAAAAATTTGAGTACTTAAAAGCCACTTTATGAAGTAATAATAAAGTTGTTCTAAATCCAAACGAAGGAACAACTCGCTTTCTATTTCTTAAAGAAACTTTCGAGCACAAAAAAAATTAATTTTTATATTAAAAAAATGCTTTATAAAGCAGAAAGAAAGTCGTCCCAGACGAAACCTTAGGCTTTGTTTGTTTGAGTGTTTTGCCTTTTCCGTTTGGAAACGGAGGATTTTTTTTTCGTCAAATCACGTTCTCAATAAATCCATTTTTTCATTTTTTTGAAGTTTTGATAAAGCTTTTTATATATACTTCTCCGTTAGAAAACTCCATTTTCTAAACTAATATTTTTTAAAACTGCCTTTTACAAAAGCATAAAAAAACAAACGAAGCCTTAGTCATCAAATAGTCTTCCATAAGCTTGCTTTATTAGTTGTGAAAATCATAAATGTGAGGAAAATATCAAATAATTAAGATAACGTAACATAACTTCAAGTGAAAGCAACAAGTAAACTAAAAACTTAGGGAAATGATTGCTTGATGTTATTTGATGAAGTCAAATGGGCTATCAATAATATATATTTTTATAATATTTGAAGTAAATAGAACTATATGTAATGTTTGAATTTCTTTGGCATTGAAAAGAAACTAGTTATCACATTACCATTGATACAATTGCATAGTTAAGAGTTTAGTAAATTATTGATTATAAAAATTAAAGTTTTTATTATTCTCTTTAAAATTTCGATGTTCGTGTTATGAATATGAATTTAGTTTGATAAATACATTGCGCGCCTATGTCCTAATTCTCTCTCTTCAAGGGATTTTACTTAAGTGAGATATGAATGTTGATCATATGTGACGATCTCTTTGATTGGTTCTATGGCATGATTATAATGATTGACGAAAAGTTGCACAGAATTCAACAATTATGGTTGCAATGACTATATTGTTATTAATACATCATTATTATAATGTCACATTGACGACATGATTACAAGGACGAAACCAGCCTTACTTTTGAGAAGGGGCAGTGATTGTATTAAACGAGAATGTGCCTTCTAAAGTAAGACACTCGGGAATGAAGGTTGAGATTCAGAATAGCTGAGCCTACAGAGTGACACACGCGAGTGAAGGAAAAATACAAAATTTTGGAAGAGAAAAGTGGTTCAGGCCATATGAGATATTGCAAATAATTTTTTAGGTGAAGGACAAAATGCAAAATTAGGACCAAAAAAAAAATTAGGGGGTCTAAATTTCAAAATTATTCTTAATATAGGCTTGGTTTTAGAGTGGGCACTTGCCCATCCTTGGCTCCATGGGGATCAACTCATGGACATGAATTTCTTATTAATTGCTAAAAAATATTAAAAAAATTTATTGGCAAGTCCTTAGTGAAACTTAGAAATAGACAACCTTTGCTCAAGATTTTAAGGGCAAAGGACTTATCTCTAATCCAAAGCTAAAAGAGTGTAGGTAGTCTCCAATATATTAGAACCCTCTCTCTCTCTCTCTCTCTCTCTCTCTCTCTCTCTCTCTCTCATTTTAAAGCCAAAAAACACTTGATGTTCTTTCTCTCTAAATTGTTTATTGGAGATGGGTTAGGATCAAGCTTTATGGTCTAAACAATTAGGCTGTCTACAAAATTTTGCATGGCTTCAACATAAATTATATATATTTTTTTTTAATTTCAATTCAATTGAGCATAATGTTTAATGTCATACCCAAATCACACGAGTATAATTCTCTGACCACCATTGTTCGTCTATGTCATTCATCGTCTAACTATGATCCTAACCATAGACTATAATTTTCTAAGCACTATTGTTCAATTATAGCCCTTCGACATCGCCTAATTATAGTCTACTTGACTATCGTTGCCCGACTATATTCCTCCAACTAGTGTCGCCCAATTACAGCCCTTCAACCATTATTATATATTATAGACCTCCGACCAATGTCCCCCGATTACATCGTCGCCTGCTAACTTTATCATATGTTATTGCCCATAACATAGACACATTTCATTACCTATGTAATAGCCCAAACTCTTAACTATAGAGAAATTGTTCGATGTGGTATAAGGGCCTCACGATTTTGTCCTGTTGGTATAATTTCCTAGGAGCTTCCTAAGATTTCTTCATGATGAACACGATTAACTACGGAGTTTCATAATGAAATTTCAACCATTACACCAAAAGGCGCATTCATGTTTAAGATTTTAACTTTTTTAACATAAGAGGTTCATAATCTCTCTCACTTAAGTAATTGACATCATCATCAGCATCGAGCTGTATCTCAGAATTATCCACCAGACAAATATGATTTTAGAGATGATCCCTATAAGTTTAAGTGGTGACTCCCACTGCGTATCACTTTGTCCCATACATGGTTTAAGAGTTGGTTCCCATGACAACACTTTATCTTATATGACACGTTGTTCCTATCTTCTGGCTGGTGTATTGCTTTGATACCATTTATAATAGCCCAACTTTTAACTATTGAGATATTGTTTACTTTGGCCTAAGGGCCTAACAGTTTTGTCATGTTGGTGTAACCTCCCAAGAGGTTACCCATCCCAAGATTTCTCTGAAATGAGCACACTTAACTACGGAGTTTCTTAATGAAATTTCAACCATTACATCACAAGACACCTCTATATTTAAGAGTTTAGCTTTTTTACTTAAGAAATTTCAAAACCTATGAGGATAATGCACTCCATTAATTCCAACTTTGTCTCGTGATGTTAGCATAAAATTTAAGCTGAACTTCTTGGTATGTGGTCTTTCCAACTCAAAGGAGAATAATCAAACTAACAACAAATGTTCTCTTGAAGATAGCTCCTAGGCTACACAACTCTTCCAATTTCCACTGCACTATGCAATTTATTCTAAACAATTTATATCAGCCACATTATGTCAACACTTTCTACAGTCACAGTAAAGAACATCATTTGAAGTATATGAAAAACACTAGTAAAATCATTTCAATTGAACTAGACATTGTGATTTTTTCCTCTTGGGTTTTCACATAAAAATTTTGCCGTCCCTTACAATGCTCGTTAGTCTGTGTATGTGCTAGATCTTTATATAATGCTAATGGCATACAAATTTTTTTCTCTCTCTACCATCATAAATTTTTTTGACACATGACATGCATATCATGTTTTGAACTATTCACATAACATTTTTATTTTTAAAAGTTACTCATATTGTCATGTCATTTTCATCACCCTCATCCCATATCTCATATCAATATGGATGCTTCACATAAGATCAAACATCATTGTTAAATAGATCTAGCTCTACCCAAATTATCTTTCTCTAACTTCCTGAAATGAATTTTATCACAGCTCCATCATTTTCAAATAAGCACCTTACTGTTTGATCCAGCTGACAATCATATTCTATTTCATCATATCAATTAGACCATCCATTCTTCAATCATGCATTCTCAATTAATTTCTTCATACCAAACTTTCATGTGCAGTATCACATGCCTCTCACAAACAGAACAAAATGGAAGTTACTTATTTTATTTAGTCTTTGAAGTCCCTAACAAAGACTGGTTGATAATCAATAGAAACAGCTCCATGTGCTAAAGCTCTTTCACCAAGGCATAAGGTTCCATTGACCCTGGGTTTTCTACCCAAAAATATGGCCTTCATTGGATGAAACTAAGTTGGCCTTCTCAAGAGCCACATTACCTTGTTGGGGGCATCATTTCCTATCATATAGAGCATCTTTTTGTTACATAAACTGATAATATTATACTATAAAGTTAATTAGTCTATCATATTTTAGCATGCTTAATATATAGCCTAATATGTAGCCTAATCCCAAAAAGATGCCTTTCAGTAGGCTAATGAGCTTCAAAATCTGAGTCATGGACCACTTCCTGAAAAAACTGAGGCATTGAAGATGAGAAAAGAGATGAGTTGAAGGAAAAGAAGAGAATATAGTTGCTATAAGATCACAAACTGAATGTGTCTTTTTAGGTACAAACATTTCAGTATAATTTCTTTGAATTACTGTTTTTATTTATTTTTAAACAGTGGTTAATTACAAAAAAAATTTCTTTTTGACTGATTTATAGAGCCACTATTAAATGATTTATGCATAAATTATTGGTAGAATTAGTCTTCATTTGAAACAGCTCTCTTACTGTTTTATTTTTCAGACTGCCAAGTATTGTTTCATGGGTGGATCCACCTTAAGGCCTGGAGGGCAATTGCCCCTTGAAAAAAATAATAATAAAAAAATCTTTATTATATGATTATTTAGGTAATTTGTCTCCCTTCATGTATTTTTTAGTCTTTATTATCAGGATTTTTAGGCAATTATCCTCCTTAAAAGTTTTAAAATACTATGATTTTTAGGCAATTGCCCCAACATAATTAACACAATGTGTAAAGATGCATTGTTAGTGAATGATGAATCAAATACAAAGAAAAATAGTAAATTGAATTCAAAAATATCCTTACAGTCAAAATTGGTCGAAGCCCACAAGGGGGCCCTGCCCCCTAGTACCCTTGACATATCTGTAAAGCGTACAACAATAAACAAATAAAAGTCGAGAGGCAGCGTCCTCTGAACAATTTTTTGTTGTAAAAATATTTATGAAAAATATATATATACTAAACTTTTACTTTTTCACTATTTACAATAATTTTTTGTGCTATGAAGCTGTTTTCTACTACAACCTTTAAAAAATATATTTTCTCCACAACAATTTTACAACCACCTCTATAAAAAACAACATTCATTTCAAACGAAATTGCTCTTAACTTCTTTTAGATTTGAAAAAAATCTAACTTATCGATATATAATTTGAAAGCTATATCTTTCCCTTCTCCTATACTTATATATATTCCAGAAGATATACTCCTCTCATTAAAAATCTGATCTCACTGGTTGAAATCTATGGCTAAACAGTCAGTGCAATGCTAGATTTTACCTGTACAATGAAGTGCTAATGAACACGATGGATTCTAAGCACATATGTATTGCTTATTTCTCTTTGTTTATCTGTTTGCAGAATGACAGTGAAACATTATCACAATGTTGGAAAAGAAATGGTTGAGAATGGGCCAAAATAATTGATGAGTTTGCAGAATAAGCAAGCTTGGTGGCGAAGTGTCAGCTTGGGACCCATAAGAACCTTGCATTCACCAAGCACTTATGCCGCACCAAAAGTCTCCATAGCTGAAATTAAGATCTTAGGTTTGTGGAGTAATGCAGAAGTTTTTGAAGATAGGAAGAAGATTATTGAAGTAGGGGGGATATATAAGAAGAGTTTATACTAACTTATTTCAAAGAAAATCAAATAATTAAATTTTTTATTGCCGTATAAAATGGCTTTTTTTTTTAATTTTTTTTTTACTAAAAAGTTATTTTAGAAAGTTATAAGAAAGCTATCCCAAATAAATTCTTATTATAATTAAAATTTAAATTATAATATTTTGACTAAAGTATTTTCTTAAACGATTTTTTGTGATGATTTGGCTTTACAATATTAACTGTTATTTTTAACATGAAATGCCATACGTTTGGTATCTTAATCACATATTTTTATTTATATAATGTGGTGGTGGTGATGGTAGAGGGTTGGGTAGCAATGATGATTGGCAATAGTTGCTGGTAGAGTTGGTGATGACTACAGGTAAGGGTGTCAATATTTGACATGACTCGAAAACTCGACTCGAGCTTGACCCGAAAATTTTGGGTTATGGTCAACTCAGATCCGAAATGGGCCGGGTTCGGGTTCAACAAAATCAACCCGTTTCAAAAATTGGGTCGGGTTCGGGTTGAACTGGAAACTCGAGATTGACCAATTTTTGACCCGAAAGTTGGAGATTGACCCATTTAAAACCGACACTTTTTGGTCGGCCCCGTGTCATTCGGATCGTGTCGGGTTTGGGTCCAAAAAACTGACCCGTTTATAAAAACGGGTCGAGTTCAAGTTGACCCGAATAGTGTCGAGTTCGACTTGAACCAGACCCGTAACCCGAAATTGACACCCCTAACAGGCAGTGAGAGCTTTTTTAAAAAATACTTAAAAATATTTTAATTTCATTTTTAAACATAAATATAAATAATTTTAGTTTACTAAAAAAATAAAAATGATTCTAAATAGTTCCTTAATTTTTTTACTTTTATATATATATATATATAATTTGTGGGGGAGAGAGAAATTATTGGAAATCAAGCCAACACATTGGGTATTGGGAGGTTAATGCACCGATGATGTAGGCTTGGGACGACGGACGAAAAATAAGGAAAGAGGCTCAATAGGTAGGGTAAATAATGAAATTGAATGCGAAAAACTGTCTTACCTTTGACCGCAACCTTATTTACAGACACAAGGCTTTCACTTTATTTTTTGTTTATTCATTTTCGTTCCTTCCTTTCCGTTTCTCTTCACTTCCTTCGCTCACCCTTTTGCTCCGTGGATGTTTGAGGATGTTTGGAGGTGAAAGATGAACTGTGCTGCAACAGCTAAAGTGGAGATCTCTATGAACAAGGTATCGACTTGGCTTTCTTTTTCTTTCTCCTATTTCTGGCTTTTCATTTCAGTTTGTTTTTGTTCTACCTTTTACGCTTTCCCTTTCCTATTTCAATATCAAGAACTTGGTTTTGTTTTTCTATGTTTTTTGCTGTAATTGATCTGGATTAATGATGGCTTGTAGTTGTGATTTGAGATCTATGCTGCGTGTTTAGTAGTTCGCGTTGGGAAAAAATTCATGGGAAAGGTATTGTTTCAGGGCGTTGTTGATTGATTTGGGTTTATTTCTATCTATAGGGGATGTTCTAAAGCTCCTTTGTTTTGCAGTTTTTTGGCCTTACAAACTTTTTCTGCTTTAAAGATTTGCAATTCTGTGCGGTTGACATTTTCTTCTGTCGTTGATTCTAGGTTTTTCTGCATTCTACTCATTTGTTGATGTTTGCTTTTTGGGGTTTTTCTGAAAAAATGCATTTTTTTTAAGATCAGGATGCAAAGCCCTAAGTTTCGGCCAGTTCTTACTGGAGATATTATTCCTTTTTTTTCTCAGATGGTATTTGGTTTTCCGAACCCTTGTCCTCTGTGTTGTGGTAAGATTATGGCATCCCTCAATCTTCTCTTGGTTATCTCATTTCTCGAAATATCACTTTTAATCTTGCCTGGTATATACTAATACTATACTAGCAAACGAACTTATCGTTGTTTTGCTTGAGTTCCTTTCTACTTCTTTGTGTTCTCATTTTGCAAGTGTTTCTTTGTACATCAAAGCTATGGAAGTCCTTGGCTTAGATGTTGGGATTTGAAGTTTCATGGAGAATTATACATGTGATTTAAATTGTTAAACTTACGGCATAAAATTCGTTGGTTTTTTTTTTTCTTTACCGAACATAGCTTACTTTAATTAGTGATGTGAATGGAGAATTTCTATTTGGTTGTCTCGATTCTTGAACTTACTGTATTCATTATTGATTTGATTGACTTGCTTATCCCTTCTTTTCTGTGGTCCCTTTTTCAAGTGGTTTTCTTTAGATTGAAGTCAGGGAGAACTTAGATTAGAACCAGTATCTCCATGTTTCAAGGACTACTTTAGGTGTTAATTCTATAGCGTATGATCTGGTTGCCTTTTGCTTTTAGAAAGTAGCTTGCGTTAATTTAAGGCTAGGTCTAGAGCATTGGTTAGGTGCCTCCATAGTAATGTCATAAAATAAATCTCAATCTTTGTAATACATATGTAATATTGCCTACATCAGCCTATCCTGATTTGAATTGGCTGGAGCTTCTTACAACCGGTATACTAATTTTATACTATTTTAAGCTATTAACTAAATGAAGGGTTGTTCTAAAGGCTTTTTTCAGTACCGTAGTGTCACAAACCGACCCAGAGGCTCAAATTAACGATGCGAGAACAGACGATTGGACGGTTGATTACATTTCAATTACTAACTCACTATTTCCAATACATCGAAAGAGCTACTAAAACTTTAAAATTTTAAAATCAAATACTATAAATACGTTTCTTTCGGAGCGTCGCATCTACGATACATATTTTCTTCTTTTTTGCTCATTTTAGTTAATTGAATTATACCTTTAATTATTTTTCAACACAAAGAGTGAGTTATAAAAGAACTCAGTGAGTAAATCATGTTTCTAAAATTACAGTAATACAATGCATTTGGAACAATATGCATGCTCATTTCCAAATATAAATTACCTCCATTTAATATCGTTTTATCATAATCATCACTATTATGCACATAACATATTTTTATCTTTTCTGTAAATAATACAACCGTCATTGTAGACATCGTTTAAATTGTATCAATGAAGGTACTCTTTTTCCATTTTCTTTTTTCTTTTTAATAACCTTTTACATTTACGTGCACGAGTATATTGCATCCTCAGCCAGTACCATAAGAGGGTTTACTCCATCATGCACATGCAAATATATATATATAGCCCATTCATTCATATAAAATTTATTTACTTTCTATGAAAAGTATGAATCATAATTTATTAATTTTTATTTCATTCAACATGACCAATCATTGGATATGAAAATGGCCAATCATAATATAGCTTGTAATAAAGACTTAATAAAGAGGTTTTACTATCTTTCAATGCATTTAATTTAAAAGAGAAACCAAACTTTTGAACTCTGTGCTTGGAGGACCGCGGTGATTTTTCCACTCAGCTGCTTGACATGTGATTAAGCTAGAGTTTGGTTGAATATTGCGATCTATGTTGTTGAACAGGACGTCCAGTTGATGCTGTAATTTGAATTTCTTTTTTTTTTTTCTCCCTGCAGCTTCTTATCTTTACTATTGTTTTCTATTCTAATTTTTCAAGCCCCGTGTTATTGAGGTTTCATTTCAAATCAAAATAGGTGCAGTGTGCATAGACACTAATTATTATTTATACCAACCTCATTAGTAAACCTGATTTATTTGCAACAATGTCTGTTCTTGTTCACAATTTTGATCCTACAAACTTCATTGTGATGACAGATATTTCCTCAATTTGCAAATCTTCAAGTAATAAGAAAGTGCGGTTGAATTACTTCTGATGATGTGGAATGGAGCGTTGTTCATTTGAAACAATTAATGCTCTTATTGTCTGGACTGGTTTGATAGGTATCTGATGTCATTTTCCAAATCAATGGCTACTGCTAAAGCATTTCCAGAGCAGCTTCTGAAAACAGTTGGCGATCAAACACTTGAGTCTTGCCATAGCATTCCTTCCCCTTTGCAAAATTCTAAGCCCATAAAGTCGGAGCTGGATAAACCAAGAAGGTTGCCAAAATCCACTGATATAGCTGATCAAAAACCAAATCACCATAGAAAGGGTTCAATCGATTGCATTCCATCAAAGAATGTTCTCTGTTCTGAAACCAATAATTTACATTCTCCTATTAATACTATTAAGCTCTCAGTTCAACAAGGAAATGCACCAGAGCTTCAATGCTTAGAAGTCAATGGGGATCAGGAAAAGAAAATCTTTCAGCACAGTAGTGAAAAGAATAGTTCAGCATCTGCAAAAGTTAGCAATGGAACAATTAGCTTAACAAAAACTAGTGAAAGTGCAAAAATAAGCGACCGGGCTGACTTCGTTGAAAGTTGCAAGAGTAGCATGTGCAAGGCCAGCACAAGCAGTGATGTGAGTGATGAAAGCTCTTGTAGCAGCTTAAGTAGCAGCATAAACAAGCCTCATAAAGCAAATGATTCTAGATGGGAAGCAATTCAGGTTGTCAGGACTAGAGATGGTGTTTTGGGTTTAAGCCATTTCAGGCTTCTGAAGAGATTGGGATGTGGGGATATTGGCAGTGTGTACCTTTCAGAATTGAGTGGTACTAAGTGTTATTTTGCAATGAAGGTTATGGATAAGGGGTCTCTGGCTAGTCGCAAAAAGCTGCTCAGGGCTCAAACAGAGAGGGAAATACTGCAATCCTTGGACCATCCTTTTCTTCCAACATTATATACACATTTTGAGACTGATAAGTTCTCTTGCTTGGTGATGGAGTTCTGTCCTGGAGGGGATCTGCACACTCTACGGCAGAGGCAGCCGAGCAAGCATTTTACGGAGCAAGCTGTGAAGTATGAAATACATCTCATTTCTTTTTTCATTTTTATGTTTAAATTTAAGTAGTCCAATATCTATAATTTCATTTTCTGAAATAGTCCTTGAACTTCACCTTTCATTTTCTCTTTATACATGTTCTATTTACAGATTGTTTCAAAATTTTTAAAATATTTAACATGTAGGCTGCACGTAATAATCTGTTATAAATTTGTTATGATGGCTTTACAAATTATTTTACATGTCTTTTCTTTTCCAACTAAGCAAACGGCCTCTATCTAAAAAAACAAAAGTCCCGGGGATACGAGAATTTCACCACAATTGAGAGATTTGAGGACTTCATCTTTAGTTTTGGCATTGTTTTTTGGAGTGAAATTGCAGAATTTGCAGAAGCATACATTACTCCCCTTTAGAATGTTTATTTTGCTATCCAGGTTTCGAGCATGCACTGGTAAATTATAAAGTCCTTGTCCAAAAATATTTTAATTCCAAAGAGGCAAATGCATGGTAAATACATTAGCAGTATGAAATGGTATATTGGCATGGAGACTTGTTAGCCCATTTTTGCCTAGTAGTCACATCAAAAAAGTTTAAATGTACTTTAAGTCAATATTTCATATCAACTTCGTGTCCGCTTGTTAAGCAAGAAAACCAGTGCTCGTGATTCTGTCTCCAGCTTTTCAGACAGGCATGACAAGGTCCTGTTTTTGTACTTACTGAAGAATCCTATAAAATGCTGTTGGTGAAATCCAAATAAAAGAAACATACCCTTAGGGCATCTCCAACCGAAAATCTCATTTTTCACTCCAAAATGCAGTAAAAAAAAATGCCGTGATTCATCTCCAATTGAACTCTATTTTGCGCTTTTCTGCGAAGGTAACCATCTTTCTCCTATTTCGCGCATTTCTTCGGTAAATCCGGTTGAGACAAAAAAAATCGCCTAGGTGAAAGTGTGACGTCAATATTGGCGTCTCACTGTTCACCCTCCACCAATTAGCGATTTTTTTTGCCCTTCAAATGGAGCAAACCAGCTATGCCTTACAGTCATTTAGAGTTCGGCTAGAGACGCCCTTAGCATGTTACTTTTATTAATAGTTTTATAAGATTACTTAGCGGCAGATATTTACTCACACGGTTTCATGTGAGAGATCAGAAACATAATATTTAATATACCTAAACCATGTAAGACTTATATGTTATCAATTTCTTCGTTTAGCATCTTGATGCTCCTCTAGGCTGCTCTAAAGCAAAATGAGTATTCATGAATTAGCAATTTTTACCAGTTACTTCCCTATATTGCAGATTCTATGTGGCAGAGGTCCTGCTTGCACTAGAATACTTGCACATGTTAGGCATTATCTACCGCGACCTCAAGCCAGAAAATGTTCTTGTTCGCGAAGATGGCCACATAATGCTCTCAGACTTCGACCTCTCCCTCCGGTGCGCGGTCAATCCAACTTTAATCAAATCCTCCAACCCTGATTCTGAGTTCTTGAGAAGCAACAATCAGGCCTACTGTGTCCAGCCTGCCTGCATTGAACCATCATGCATCCAGCCTTCTTGTGTAGCTCCCACAACCTGCTTTGGCCCTCGTCTATTCTCCTCCAAATCAAAGAAGGACCGCAAACCAAAACTGGATATTGCAAACCAAGTCACCCCACTGCCCGAGCTCATCGCCGAGCCAACTGATGCAAGGTCCATGTCTTTTGTTGGCACACATGAGTACTTGGCTCCTGAGATCATCAAGGGTGAGGGCCATGGAAGCGCAGTGGATTGGTGGACCTTCGGTATCTTCTTATATGAGCTTTTGTTTGGCAAGACTCCTTTCAAAGGGTCTGGAAACCGGGCTACATTGTTCAATGTGGTTGGACAGCCATTACGGTTTCCAGATTCTCCAATTGTGAGCTTTTCTGCAAGAGATTTGATCAGAGGGTTGCTTGTGAAGGAGCCGCAGCATCGGCTTGCGTACAAGCGAGGCGCGACGGAGATTAAACAACATCCATTCTTTGAGGGTGTGAGCTGGGCATTGATACGATGTGCTACTCCTCCAGAGATCCCTAAGCCTGTGGAGATTGAGAGGGCAGCAGGGAGAGTTGCTTCAACAAGTGAAAAAGTTGCCCCTGGGACTGATCAGAAAGGTTCAGATAGCTATCTTGAATTTGATTTCTTTTAGAGATTTGTCATTAGGGGAGTGCAAGTTCTTCTTGGCAAGGGGAAGTTTTGAGTTTCTGATTTCTCAGGATGAGAGGTAACCCTATTATTGAAATCTTGTGCTAAATATGTTGTTTGTTAGGACTAGTCATATTTGTACCGGTGCTCCTCGCTGAATATTGGAACATTTAAATCTTCATTATTGCTTTGAGGCTCATTTAATTGTTAGCAGATATTAGTTATATTTTACGTAATGTTATTTCATTTTCACACACTCTAAATGTGAAAACATAATAGGTACATTTTGAAGGATTCTGTAGGCGATGTAAAGTTTTTTTTTAACTAGCAAATAATGCCGAAACTATTAAACGTCTTCATTCTATAAAATGTGTTTTCAAACCTCTAACAACTTAGAAGAAATTATCTTATTTCCTCTCTACTTTTTCATCGTATGAGGTTCATCTAAACAACTCTGTCATGGTTGTTCTTATTAAGACAAAGAAAACAATGGGAGCTATTGGATCTTAATTCCATCAGTTAAGGGTCTTGCCCCCGAATTTTTTACTCTATAGATGTACAATGCCGCGATGCTATACATTAGAACGTTACAACATTGTATACTTGTACTCGTGCACTGCAGCATGGTAAATTTAAACGTAGCGGCGGAAGAGTCTCTACTTTGAAACATAGAGCGGAGCATTGCGGCGCTCTAGAACCAATGCTGCGAGTTGTGCTGGAGATAGAGTAAAGCGCCGTGGTGTTGCTAGTCGGGTCAGTTTTTTTTTTTTTTTCCCTTGTTTCACTTTAAGTGTTGTGTCTTGTGGTGTTTTTCAAAGTGAGATAAGAAGAGATTGAGAGAGAAAGAGAATTGTGCAATTTCTTTTAATTTTCATTGTGAATTTTTTGGTGTGATATATCTACATGATTTTTTTCCCCAAATGTTAGGTTTTTCATATTAAAACCTGATGTTGATTTTAATTTTTTTTTTCTTATTTCATTTTGTTGTTTACTTTCTAAAGAGCCAGACATATTGGCCTACTAAATGGTTGCAGAAATATGATTTGACAGTGAGGTCGCTATATCCTAGATCATAAGTATTTTTGGTGCCGCCAACTACTGGTAACAATTTTGTGCGACCGAAATCGGGCAAAAGTTTCAGTCGGGCCTATGGCGACCATTCTTGCGAGTGCTGGCGGTCACAAAATTCTGATACAATGCTAGACAAACTATTTGGGTTGCTCAAGAGGGTTTTGTTCCATATATCTAAAAGTATCAACAGTTGCATTCATAAAAGAACTTGGCAATGGAAAATCTTTCAGCTGTAACAGATATTGTCACGAGATAGCAGTACGAAACCAGGAAAACAATATGGTCAAACCCACAGATGCATGAGAAATTATTAGGTGCGGACACCGGACATAAAGGTACGTTCGGACTGACATAGAGGTATGTTCGGACTCCAATGAAATGTTGATGCGTGGAGTGGACACGTGAATATTCAATTGAATTTAATGTGTCTATGGAACTTTAAGCCAAGCACGTCAAAATGCAAGTAAAGCGCAAGTAAATGACAAGTAAAACAGTTAAAGCATTGGTAAAACATATGTAAAGCATAAGCAAAACGCACCAAAAAGTACAAACAAAGTATACTCCACGTGTTAAATTTTAAGTGGATGTCTGAATATATCTCTACATCTGGTCTTTGCACCTAATAATTTTCCCAGATGCATCCATTTTAAGAGAAGAAGTTCTTATATACCGAAATAGAAAAATAAAACCAAAGCAAGCAGCTAAACAGAGCGCAGAGGAGTCGGGCGAGCTCCGGGAAGGCCGGTTGCAGCGAATGGAGCGGTGAGATTTTGAATGCGAAAAGAACATGAGAAGAAATGGGCGCTGGTTCTTTTATTTGATCTTTCCACTACCGAATATGACCAGTCCCAAAGTAAATGAAATACAGAGAATGAAGCTGAAAATTAACTCAGTAAATGGCATTGTTGTATCATTTACCAGCAAAATATTCCAAGAGCAAATCCCTAACTTTTATAAGTTCAATAAAGACTCATTCAAAGACTAAGGTTTCATTTGGGACTGCTTTTTTATTGCCTCATAAAGCAACTTTCTAGTAAAAATAATAATTTTTATGCGAGAAAACTGTTTTAAGAAGCAGTAAAAAAACCGTCTCAAACAAAGCCTAAACTTTGCCGTCTTTGTATTAACAGCCCATATAACAAAACTGTATATCTCAAGGATATCAATCAGATCAAACCATGGACGGATAAAATATAGTTACAATAAAATTATATTAAAAAATCTATGATATAGGTAAAGATTTGTGGCATTTCTGCTCTAACAACTCATTTTCCTTTCTAATGGAGTCCAGGTCAGCTTGGAGTTTGGTAATGTCAAAGCGACGGGAGGAGAGTGCTGCAAGCTTCGCCTCCTGAGCTGCAGCTTCTCTTCGAGCTCTATCAGTGGCAAGTATTGCGTCTGCTATCTGTTGAAAGTTGTCATGAATGCTGGTGAGAAGCCGATATGCTTGCCGACCCACTGCATCCTTCTTTGCTTCTCTGGAGAATTATATGATGAAATAAACCTCAGCAGTGGGAATAAGGATCGAATGGGTCAAAGTTAAAACTGATAAACTAATTGACACCGTCATTCTAACCAGAGAAGTTGAAGTTAGTCGGTAAGGATTAACCACAAGTATTTCTATATCAGTATATTTTTCATCTATCTAATGTGGAACTAAACTTAATAATTACATGTCTTAACAAAATTGAAATCATAACTTCATAAAGACTATGATGGTGATAAAGTATGAGATTAAAAAGATCGATGGCTTGAGAGTTTAGAGCTTTAGAGAACCAAAATATGGATTTGTTAATCTAGCATGAGTTTGTGAAGGCATTCAAAACTTGACTAAAAATATGAGAGAAATGGATGAAAAAGCTCTCCCAACAACTAAACTATATTTGTTGAATGAGATCTTGATAAAGGTATTTAAGAAAACAATTATAAAGGAATTAATTGTATATTCCATTAGTAAAGAATCAAGAAATATAAATTTGATGGTTGATTATGGGGGTCAATTTTTGTTACAATTGTGCTTTTAACTTACTTTTATAACCATTATCATGACATGATGTTATATGGTAGAGATTCAGTTGGCTTATTAAGCATGAAATAAATTCATTTCTTTTTGAAGTAGTGATTTAAGTTAGATAAGGATTCTACCACTAATCATAGCAAAAATAAATCTTGTGATAAATAGGAGGATGTTGTTTCCATCTAATATATATTAGACATGTGATTCTTTGATGGAGCACAAATCTCAATGCATGTCTAATATTTTTTCTTCTCATGTTAAAATATACAAGGAATTCCTCATAGAAGTAGTCATTAAACTTTTTCATATCATATAAATCCTCATAAGAAATTATTTTTCACTATGAGCTATGTGCTAATGACCATATTTATATTAAAAATGATGTGTCATGCAAGATGATTGGCTTTAACATGATAAAGTTGAAGATCTATAATGATGTCACTCAACGTCACTCGAAGCTAAGAATATGTTAAGGCTATACATCATGAAAAATATGATATATTTGAACCAAAATGCACTTCTTGGGGATATGTTGAAGTCCTTAGAATTTATAATGGTGCATTGGTGCATTGGTTGAATGTAAGCAAAAAAAGTTGGCAAACTCCATATGTTGCAGAGTTGTAAACTTCAAATGAAGCTACTATAGTTTCATCATCATCTGCATCAGATAATGTGACTTGGGGAAGAAGAAAATGTCAGCTTCATGAATCAAATTCAATTTGGGAAAAAATGAGGATAAATCTTAAGAGGAAAAACTATTAGAGGTGATTATGCAGATCAATCTCAAATTACATAGTAAGTTCTAATGCCAAATTGTATCATTATAATATGCAAAGTGAGAAGAAAATCATATATAGAGTATGGAGGTTCAATAATCGGTGGATTTTTTGGTGTCAATGAATCCAATTCCATGTGCAATATAGGCTTCAGAAGTCTCATGTAAGTTTAAATTTAGGCTTACGATAGAAAATACTTGAGTTCGTAAGTAATCCTATCGGATGTACTGGAGTTCGCAAGCAACCCTAACATGAAATTGGTAAAAACAGAGAAAAAACACAAGAAAGATAATGAAACAACCCAAAATAACTATCAATTTTATTGAATACTCAAAGCAAATCAAAACATAAGAAAATATACAATTGATCCTCTATTTGAGAGGAGGATCGTTCTCTCCCAATCTCTAGACACTAAGTCTAGAGCCCAAGACACTCAGGAGACTCCAAGAGAAAACAATATTCAAACATGTCTCTCCCTTCCCCTCTCTTCCCTGTTTATAAGCCCTCTCAAGCCCTTGCCACCTCTCTCTCCTTACCATAAATAGTTTTTAATTTAATTTTCAAATCAAATAGGGCCCCTCAAGCATAGGCGGCAACCCCCTTGGGAAGCAGTTTGAACCGCCTCTTGTAAACTGGGGCCGGCTGAGTCGGTTCTTGAACCGACCTATCAGCTTCCTTTGGGATTTATGTGGTTAAATGATGCTCAACCCTTTGATGTTTTGATAGCTTAAAAAACTTTATTTGGAGAAGACACACAGGAAATCCAATATATACTGTCACATTATCAAGTCAATGAGAAGAATTGTTAGGATATTACCTCAATAATATTTACTAAAGTACCAATTCAAAATAGATTGGTTTATGTTAATCACATATTATCCATTGTCCTTGGATAAGAATTAGTTCAAATTTTCGATGCTTTGACCAAAACACTAGTTTATATCGACAAGAGATGAGAGAAATTGATCTACATCAAATAGCCCCTAGGTGCATTTAATCTCACCATAAATAGAATCCAAAATCTTCAAACCAAAAAAGTAAAACCTCATAATATCTTCTAGAATTACAAGAGTGATAATAAACACAGATCATCTAGATCATACAAGAAAATTATTACAAGAATTATCCTAAATGATAACACCACACAAGTCTACTCTTATCTTTTTCAATTTTCTCAGTAGCATCTAGCTACAATTCCAAGCACAACACAAAGTTGCTTTTTGGCTATTTATAGGAATTTATGGAGTTAGAAATTTCAATTTGAATCTGATTCAACTTTTGATTTTAAGTTAATCCAAAATAATAAATTTTCTAATAAAATCTTGAATATTTTCTTATTGAAGGGCAAAAGATAATTTGTATTTATGCTATTTTGAATTATGCAATTATGCTAGCAATATCATTAAAGTAATATTCCAACAAAACTGATGAGGACATCAGTCAAATATTTCGACATGTGTATCGTCGACATAGTTATGGATCGACGGCTATGATTCTGAGTTTGTATTTTTGATGTATTTTCTGTTTTATTTTTTATGTTTTATGTTACATTTAAGTTTTCCCATTTTACCCCTATGGGGAATTGAGTCTATGTTGTAGCCCAAGGGGCACTTTAGTTTTTTTTGTTTTCTTTCTTTTGGGCCTATTTATAGGAGGCCTCTTGCATTATAATGGATGATGATTATTGATATGAAAAATTCATCTTGTGCTTCTGATCTCTTTGTGAGTTCCAGAGAGAGTGGTGAAGCCTAGGAGAGGCTCAAACGAAGTACCCAACAGCCCATGCGGGTGAGCTCTTGATTTTCCTACATCTCTTCTTCTTCTCTCCCACTTTTCCACCACCCGAGCTTCCCCTTCTTCCTCCCTACCCAACGGCCCGTCACCACCTCCCCTCCTTGCGTCAACACCACCACCAAACCTCCTCTCCACCCGCTGGCCCACTCCACAACCTCCATCATTGTGATGATTTCCCTCATCATAGTTGCTTTCCTAAATTAAGCCAAGCAAAGAGGGAAAGAATTCTAATTATTTGAAATTCAAAATTTGAATTTCAAATGCTTTCCTTATTTGAAATTCTAAATTAGGAAAATGATTAAATCTAAATCTAATTTGAATTTCAATTAGATTGGATCTAATAATTCATTTCCTAACTTACATAGCTTGTTTTGGAAGCTCTTAAATCCCTCCACAAAATCCTCCTCCCTCTCTTAATGCCGCCGGCCCCTTGATTGGGTTCCACCTTGGTTTTCCCTCTTAAGCCCCAACCCAATTTGGATTTGAAATCAAATTCCAATTCATTCCCTCCGATTTCACTTAATCTGAAATTAATTTCAGATTTCTAATAATTCTTCCTAACCCTAACCTAGATCTAGCCTCCCCCTCCCCCTCTCCACCTCCCTCCTACCCGAGACCCCACCCGCCTCTCTCCTCTTCTTCTTGGCCACCCCTCCCAAGTGGCGGGGGAGGGGTGGCGGCTCCCCCGCCTCAACACCACCACGACACACCAAGCCCTTCCATGATCATGTATGGCCGAGCTGAAAGTTGATCACGGGCTTATTCTCAATTCTCAATGGGAGATTGACGTCATCCAATCACCATTCTTTGACCCCGGATTTGGATCTGAAAGCACCGTCAAGGAATACATTAATCGTATCCTCCCCCACTTAGCAGACGTCATCGACGAACAAAGATCTATTGGAGAGTGGAAGATCACCGGACGACCACCCGTTCCTCTAACTCCGACTCCTTCCCCGGCAACTAGCACCCTCGGCATCGCATGTCTTCTAGTGGCGTCTCTAAGTTTGCTTGCAACATTCTTCCGCTAAGTCAATCACTTTCAAGAGTGTGAGTGAAAGATCCCAAGGTGAACGATCTAATTATTAAACTGTGGATTTTGTTAACGTGCCATTTGCTTTACTCATTTATTTGTTGTTATTTTACAAGTAATCTCAATTGTAATCGCTTGCCAGTACTTAGTCTTTTCATGGAATATTCTAAGATCTAACTTGAAGAAGCATCCGTTTATATTTAGCCAAGCAAAGTTCGCATTTTACTAATTTCTTAAAAGCAATTCTTGTTCATCATCATTGTTTCACATCAAAAACCTTGATAAATAAGACTTCAGAAGCTTGAGAGTTTGCGAGTTATTTCTTCTAGTATTATAAATATTAGATAGTGAGGTCGAGTTTATCAAAACAAGATATTCTTTGAGCTTGAACTTTTAAGACTGATCCCAATTCATGTAAGTAGAAGTTGATGGGCAAATCCATGACAAGAGCTGATGATGAAGTTCCTAACAAAATGCAGCCACAATGAAGCAAAAGTCAGTGATGAAAAAAAAAAGAAGAAGCACAAGTTTGTTATGACTTGAATATTTTACACATTCAAAGCTATACGTTTTATATAGCTAGAGTCTTGCTGTAAGGCTCCTGACGTTGATTTTGTGAAGCATTGAGGACATACGAATTAACATTCAAGCTGCAAATTCAACGGTAGGCTTTAATGGCCGGAAATCAATACACATTGCTTAGAAATGCAACGGTCAATGTCCTCCCACAGTACTACAACTTCAGACAGGGCGTTAGAGTTCCGTGAAACAATATCAAGCAAAAAACTGGCTCAGTTTGTCAGGGAATGTGGAGAAATAAGTTAACTACCAGGAGAAAATCCTATTTTATCTCGGTAATGTTCCATTCCTCACATTTCACTCTACTACAAATGTTTCACTAAAAACCCATAAGACCTTCCCTAAGGTACATCAGCTTGTTAAAACAAACCATCTTCACTTCAAATATAAGTAATAATTATTTTTACTATGATTCAATAAAATCAACTATTACCAAGGGGAAAGGGTGTCACCAAAAGGACAAACTCCATACCTGAAGATAGTTTCGTCAACCACAGCATGTGTCCTATGAAGTCGTTCCTGTATCAAATTACTCTCTAATTGAAGCTCTCGTGTCTCCTTAAGGATTTGTTTGATGTCCGCATCTAGTTTACGGCTGTTCTTTGTAATCTCAGTAATGCGTTCAATGTAAGATTTTCTGCAAGGAAGTTTGGGCTGCTCTTCAAACTCTGCAAGAAGATCCAGATGTTCTGCCTCTCTAACATGGACAAGTACATATTAATATATGAGTTAAAAAAGCAGAATTCAAAAGAAATTATTAGGATTCTAGGTATACATCAATACATGTAATTGCCAATTAAAAAAAAAAAAAAACAGCTACACATTAAGATATCAAATAATGAATGATTGCATGCTTATCCGCATGTGAACAAGCATATCAGTACAAAATCAAGGAATATTTTGAACAACTTTGAACTTTAGAAGAAAAACAACATCATAACCATTATCTGTGCGCTACTGTGGACCTCCGAAGGAGCACCGCTCGCGGGGGTTCGAATGCAGAGGGTACGGCCGCACTATCCCGTAGGACAAAACGATCGTAGGCCTCTACGCTCGACACGAACGGGTCGATGGGAGGGCAGATTGGATCGCGCATACGACTACAATTTGACCAAGTCAACCCTTCAGGCTCGGGTCTAGGCAAAATCGAGGTCAACAGCTACTACTTTTGTTTTGTCATCCATATGAATGATTCTCTCTTTTGATTATATCCAGAAAGCATTGGCTTTGATTCATTCTAGATATTGCTATTTTAGCAACTTCCAACTTTGCAAGAGTTGGCCTAACCACTTTTCCGCCCTAGCAATTTTACATCAATATTTGCTCCTAGCCTAAGACAGGAACATTTTACATCCGTATTTGGCCCTAGCCAATTTGTTGAAAAAATAACTTCAAAGCTAAGATGAGAAGAAGTGTAGCTAAAAAAAATTTTGAAGTATCATGGCCTTTAATGGTTATTTCACATCGGCTGTTTATAATTTTATTTTGATGAATTGAACATAGTCTACATAGTATGCTCTTATATCAACACAGATGATATGACAATGTTATCAGTGAGATTCACCTCTTCGATATTTCAGTCAATGTGGCTTCTATTTCTTCCTCAATTTCTTTTAACTGGATAAGCTTTTCTTGAACTTCCGGTTGCTCAGAGTAAAATGTGTGCTCAAGCTTCATCCTTTTTTCAGTTAATGAGTGTTCAGCAGCATTTCTGCAACATAGAAACTTGAGCTCAACTCTCACTTCCATTCATGAATGAATTAAAAGAAAGTTTTCACAAGAACAGTATGACGAAAATAACGTAAAAAAAAAAAAAAATTTATTTCAACCACTGCTAATAGTTTTTAAACATTCAACTAACCATTAGGCTTACATTTCATAAATCTACACATTCTAACTATAGCAACCAGAAATCAGACATAGCACACATAGTGCCACGTGCCACATTATTAATCTATGGTTATTCATCTTTAAAAAAACGTGAGTGCTGCAGACAATCAAATTAGAACAAAAATAAAGGCATTTTGGACAAACAGGTATTAAAAAGCATGTAAATCACATAACTAGTATTATAACTGGGAGTAAAAAACCTAAGCATTCCACACGCAAGTAACTACAGGGTAGGAGGAAACAGTTCAAATTCAAGGAAGCATGGAAACATTGAGCTGAGTGAACATTTGAAATTTATTATGTAACAAGAAAAGAATTTAAGGAACTATACATGTACAACTGTTTTAGACAAAACGAAGAGCTAGGAGATAAAAAGAAGGAAGTTTAGAGAAGCTAGGGTAAAATGCTAGACCTACTGTATACAAGAAAACAAAACTAATACTGATACTTTTATACATTGTTCAATTATTGGAGTCGCAGACAATGCTGCAGAATATGCAGAAAACAATAGTCAAGCAATGGTAGATATGATGACCTAACGACAACAGTTAGATAATGATATGTTAATGTAATAGGCCACTACACTGCATATAAATTGCATCATGAAAAATGCATGCAAAAGTATATACCCGCATGAGCCTCGACGAACGTGATGTATGCATACATGTGTATATGAGAATGTTGCACTGTCAAAAAAAGAACCTAAGTTTGGGCCCGATCCTTCTATGTGAATAAATTAGAGTCAACACAGCTTAAACTATCAAACAAATATATAGTCGTGGCATATTTATTTTATACGTTCTTATTATACATTCAAGATTTATAACAAGAAAAATTACTAATAAAAGCATAAAGCTGATAACGAACCTGATCCTCTGTCAGCAAGCTGACAGAGTCAACAAGGTTCAACCAATAAAATGGAACTACTTATAAAAACCTTGATAATAACTGTGTTGAAAGAAAATCTCAACCAGAGGAGACCACAAATATTTAAAATGTCTCCTAAATTTCTATGAAAATACAAAACCTAAAAGTCACATAAAACTAAAAAAATTAAAATTGAAGTAAAAACACCTAAATACTTAAAGCGAAAGTATACATCCACCATTCGCAACAGTTTGCCGAGGCCGACAAATCTGAAAATCACTTCAGCTCACAAAAAGCAGATATTTGGTCGAGAATATCACTAAAATTCATTCGCAAATCGCCTCATTCCAGTAAAAATGTGGCATGTGTCATCTAATTGGTGATTTCGTAATGAATGACACCACAGATAAACGATTATGATCGAGATCCTCTAACCAAGTGATTTTACAGCCAAACGGAACTATTGAATTATGGTCATGGCCAGAACTCGAATGTTCCCCAACGACGATAAATCTTTGAGTAATAAATCAATATGATATGACCGATATGGCACAAAGCCCTTAGTTAGCTAAGAAGACTTTAAATATATCCCCTTAAGAAAATATTCACCCTATGTCTTCCCTTGGATGAATAACCCATATATGCCAACAAAAATCTTTCTATCAGGATGGGTCGAATACCTCCTCTGACTAAGCAAACTAGGAACCATGATGACCCGGGACGACGGAACCATGGGGATCTTGATCGGGTTCATCATCATTCCTCCCCACCATCCGCTTTAAGTACCAATGTGGTGAATTTTAATTTTAAATATTAAATTTTCAAATACCTAAACATGCTGCTACTATACGCTAGACACAATGTATCTGTGGATAATATGTATATGTTTGACGACCAGCCTTAATAGAAAGTTTTCTCTCGCTATCGGGAGGGATAATTAATTATAGGGGCTTGCACCTATGGAAATCTAAACTATGATCATAAAGTCCTCGCAAAATGAGGGCAAAATCCCTAGGTAATATCTTATTCAATACCCAATCTGTCTTCTGAAAATTTGCCTGGAACTTAAACGTTAAGACTCTCCCAAATGACTAAAAAAAATAAAGGGGTCACAAAGAGGTCCGGGAATAAATTTTAGGAGTCCACAAGCTCTATATAGAAAATTTGGAGAGATCTGCGTACATGGCTTCAATCTGAGAAGCACTCAATTCATCTCACAATGACTTCAATCAATGATAATCAATCACAAAATATTGGTCCCTGATTAGGAAATACTATTATGAGGATAAGACTGTTGACCCATATGCCGTCGCAAACAAAAGATATCACAAAATCATCATACCTGAGCAGTGCACATTGCCCGAATCATGCTCACACGTCGAGACCATTCCGACGTCGCTTCTCAGCACGACTCGTTCGCGCCGTTAAATAGCCGAAGAAAATGAGGCCTTCGGCCTCTCTCTCTCGCTCTCTTTCGCTACCCCGCTCCCTCTCTCACGGCTGCTCGACCTCGCTCCAGCGATGACATTCCCTTCCAGTTGATCGGACGTAACGACACTTTGGTCGGAGGTAACACAGGAGCCCGTCGACTGTGAAGTTAACTTTCTCCCGCTTGTACGCTTCTTCGACCAGATCTCGTAAATCCGCTGAAGCCCCTCTTCGGCTTCTTCGTTGTTGTTCGACCGCGCCCCTTTGACGATGTTCCCTCCTGTGGATAGGAAGTTACGACAATTTGATCGGAAGCACGAACGGGAGCCCGCGCCCTGTGAAGGTAATTTCTCCCATTCAGGAGCTTCTTCGGCCCGTCCCTGTTGCCCGACTTTGCTCCCTCAACGACTTTCCCTTCTTGTTTGATCGGAAGAAACAATAAGAGCTCACTGTCGTGAAGGTAACTGGCTCCCTTTCAGCGCTCTTCTTCGGTCAAATCCCGTATGTGCATCGAACCAGAGAGAAAGGAGAGAGGGATTAGTTTTTTTTAATTAAAATTAATTTTAATTATAGTTATCTTAATTAAAAAAATAATTATGATTAATTACAATTTATTTTAATTATAATTAATTTAATTAAAATTAATCTTAATTAATTATAACTTTATTTATTATTAATTATAATTAATTATTATTAATTAATTAAAGTTAATTAATATAAGTTTTAATTAATTAAAGTTAAATGTAATTAATTATAATACTTATAATTAATCACTTTAATTAATTATAATTAATTATAGATAAACATAATTAATTAAAGATAATTATAATTATTAATTAATAAAAAATCCCTCTCTTACATTGATGTGCGTGTCGAGCAAGCAAACCACCCATACACGCTTTTCTCTAGCGTGGTGGGAAGGGAACCCGGTGCGACACCTACGACGAGGTAGGTAAGCGACCCCTTGACTCCAAAATTCTGTCTTCGGTGTGTGTGACGAACCGGTTAACCACCTATACATGCTTTTCTTAGCATGGTAGGAGGGAACCCGGTGCGATGCATGCAACGAGGCAGGTAAGCATGGTGCATGCTTTTCTTAGTGTGGCTAGGATAACTCTTAAGTACCCGTACGCGGCTCTGTACCTACGGGGAAACAATTGCTTTTCTTGTAATAGGTACCGAAGACCCATAAACGTTTTTCTTAGCGTGGTGGGGACGAAGATTTTACGGCCGCGATGTCCTCATATGAGAGCACCTACCGTACACGCTTTTCTCTGGTGTGGTGGGAGGCCTAGTTTTCCGTAGTTTTCCCCTAAACGGGGAAGGTGCTGGGAGGCTGCCTAAATTTCAGGTGAATATATGACTGCACAAGGACCTGATTTGAACACAAATGAACAAGAACTTAGACTCAAATGAACAATGAATTGTGGACCTGAACAAAATCTAAATGATGAATAAAAGGTCAAACCCAAATAAAATAAGATTAAACTGGAGCTAAATTCAAATCAATTTGAACATGCAACTTAATTTGCAAAGACTTCAGAGAACTGAACAAGAACCTTGCACTATGGACATTGAATAAATGACACTAACTTGAACTCAGAATGTATAACTACAAGTGGAACTCAGACTTGAATGTGACATAGTGCATACACATTGGATTTGCAAATGAAATTAAAGATGAAAATTTGAACCTCAATGAACAATGTTTTTGAATATAAAATCAAACTCAAACAAATATGTAGGGATTTGTATATAGCCTTACAAATCCAAACTTCACTTGAACGATCAAAAGGAGACTGGACTCGAATCAAACCCGAACGACGAAGGACTTGTCACATTCAACGTGACTTATCTACGAGCAACAAAATAATTCAGCCTACAACGAGCTAACAACAAAGGGGTATTTGAAAAGTTTGAAGCAAAATGCAGTCTTCATACAATGTCACTTAATTGTAAGTGAGTACCCTGCTCTCCTACAAGTAAAGATGTACGACAAATGTGATGACTCGTTGGCTGATATGCAAGGAGTATACCATAAGTGTCAAGATGCTTATACAACCTATATTAAGGCAGTGGCAAGTAGATGCATGTCTTCTACAAGCAGGGGAGATTTGTTATACAACAAGTGCAAGTACCTACTATCCTTTGTAGGATGCCTGCTATATATTCAGCACATGTTTGTGAGCAAATGTGAAGGATTTGCAATACATCACAAACATGTATAACCATGGTGTAATAGACTCCTACGACAATCCCTACAATGCCTGCAGATTGAGATGGCAATATTACCACTCGATGGTGGAAGACCCGTCCCAACAAACAATTGCAATCATCAAAACCACCTGAGATTAATGAAAGGTGGACATGATGCAAGTACAATAGGCTCTTCTACAAGTACGTCTGGGGGATTGTGGTGAACATAATCATTCCTTGTGAGCAAGGAAGGATGATACAACACACTTGTGAATAACAACAGTGGATATATTGTAAGTACAACGAATCACTATGGACACAAATAGATAT